CTCTCTCTCTCTCTCTCTCTCTCTCTCTCTCTCTCTCTATCCCCTGTTTTGTTTCCCATTGAGTTTGGTCTCTCCCTGCAACTATTTTGAAATGATGTCCTCTTCTGCAACAATGGGGGGCCACGAAACCCACATCCCTAGACAAGAAAAACCCCACCCATTACAGCAAATCGCAGAGAGCTCAACTCACAAGCTGCTTCTGAAACAATGGCTCAAAGAAGAGGAACTCATCTTCAAGAGGGTCGCCTTAAATGAGTCTAAAATTGACGGAACCAGGAAAGAAATCACCCAGCTCTACTGTTTTTACTTTATCTTCCATGCCATTGTTCTTGTTTTGTTGTACACTGCTTCGGCTAGAGATCCGGATAAGGCTTGCAGAAGGGTTTGGATCCCCTCTGTTTCTGGTCTTTTGTGTTCTCTGGCCATGATTTGGGCCATAAGGTATAAGATGGACATGGAGGCTCACATTGAGAAGCTTTTAGAGAGAGAAAAAGAGGATGGGAAGCTGCTTTTGAAGTGTGTTCAAGAACTGAAGAAGAAGGGTGTGGATTTTGATCTCTTGAAGGAGGTCGACGCATTGAGGAGGGCTAAGAGTTTGAGGGTGGAGACGAAGCCTGTGAAGAAATGGTCGTCGATGGATTTCGTCACACTTTTCTTCGTGGCGATCTCTTGTTTGATTTTGGGGATCACAAGATGTGTTCTCTGCAATTAGAATGGGGTTTGGGGTTTCTTGGCTTCTTTCTCTCTCTAAATCTGGTTTAGCAGGGTTTTGGGGTCTCCCTCTCTGTCTCTTATCACTCAATATGTGTTGGGTGACTCTCTCTCAGAGGGTTTTTTTTATTTTCTATTTTCCCCTTAACTTACAGTCCACCATTACAGAACATATTGTTCTTCATAGAATGTCATGTTTCAAGCTTATTGGGAGTTAATAACATTTCTGTGAATTTTTAGTTTCAGTATTGCATTGAATTCTTCATTTCTTTTTCAATCAGATTAAAGACCGATTGAACTTGGCTAAATTCCTCGGCCCCTAGTTGTATAGTACAAGAAACATAAATTTTTTTAATCCCAAAATTAGTAAAAAACAATATGGGATTGTTGTATATTTGGGTTTTTTTTCAGAGATTGATGAGTTTTTTTTTTTTTTGCTATAATCTCTATTTTTATATCTTCTGAAATGTCCCCAATTATAAATTGATTTTTTAATATTTATTTTTCTATACTTTTTTAAGCTTATTTAAGGTTGGTTTTTGTATTGTTAAACTTTTACTACCTTTATATTTTTTTGTATATATTTTGCTTTTTTTTTTTCAAATTTTTTGGCATTGTCTATTACTCGAGCCAATCCACTCAGCCAAATATGCCCAGGGCCGAGAAGACCAGGCCCAAGGCTAATTCGTGAACACTAAGAATTTTAATTTCTATTGAAATCAATTTTACTTATTTTGTAAACTTCTATCAAAAAGAAAAATTTGTGCATTTTTTAATCATCGCATACGTGGTTGTGTTCATAAAAGTGTTGAGATTCCTCTGAGAATATGCAGGCTGGCGTTACGTTGTTGAAATCCTGACCCTGAAATAATGGAGAAATGGCCCATGCTTAATTCTTGGTATTTTTGCCACATTTCGCTTTGCATGTTTGCCTTTTGTTTTTTTTTGTTTTTGTGCAACTGTGGCTTCCAATTTGAAAATGTGCAGCCGTTGGAAATATGAGAGAGAGAGAAAGTGTGTGTGTTTATAACATGTACATTTATAGAGAGAGAGTGTGAGTGTTTAACATGTGCATTTATTGAACCACTTCAACGCTCCAGGGGTGTATTATTATTATTTTTTTTGGGTAAATCAGTGGAGAACAACTGGAAGTTAATTTTTTTGAAGGTATAAATGGTGTTGTGTAAATATAAATAGAAACTACAACATGTTTCTGAGGTATGAGAGTGCTATTACCATGACCCTAGCATCTTTCCCTATATTAATTTGGGACTATTGATATAAATTTTTGGTATATATACTTTGATGTATGGTGTGCCTATATTGAGTTTGTTATTATCACTTGGGATTATATACTACGAGGCCATTTATCCTCATTACAAGGACGTTACAACTGCTCCTACAATTATATGGCAATTTGAATGGCTTAGGGTATGTCATAAAATTCTTATTTATTTATTTATTTTATTTTATTTTTATTTTTAACTTTGGGTCTAGTCATTGACACATTGAAAACCACCCGATTTGAAATCTGACGGACAAGAGAGATTTTGAGCATCTTGTACATTAAAAGTAAGGAAAAAGTTTTTATATAAGGATGCTACCTTATAATGTAGAACTACGGAGGTCCCTCAAAAGTCCATCGGAAAAGGTAGTTTTAATGTTGAAAAACCTTTTGATTGATCATCTCGACATTGAGATATATGACTATGAAAATAAAAGGATTTTAAGTCCC